ACACACACAAACAAAATGTACACAGCACAGCCAACCCTATCTGCTTGATACTTTGCTGGAGAGGAAAAAAATGCCTGTTAATAACTTGCCATTATATGAATCTTAAACAGCTGTCAGAGAGATGCCACAAGGAACAGGATGAATGACTGTATATGGAATACATCTAAGAGTGGGACAGGAATAGATGGAAGATCAAGGAAGGCAGGACAGCTCCCATCCATAAACCTCTACTTGCTATGAATTTACAACCTGACACTCTCTCATCTACTGGTTGATTAATTGTTACTCACTACAAAACATGACAACTGAGAATCCCTTTGATTCCAGGCTTACACCTTTTTGCACACAGCTCTTGACAGCATTACTTTCCTAAGCCAAACTAATTAAGAAGAGGTTGGATCATTTTAAGATGTTAAAAAGAGAGTCCCAGAGCCAAAGCACAATTAACCTCAAATGTTAACTGAAGCATTTCAGCTAGAGTAGAGACAGAGTCTTATTCTTTTTCAAAATTCATTGTAATTGTTATGGCTGTTTTACACTTCAAGATAGAAAACTGAAGTGGCAAAATGCAAGGGGTGGGGAGTCCTTTTTTCTTGACACTCAGTTGATCATAAAATCAAAGATAGCAGAACCGTTACAAAGGAAGTGCTGCTTCAGTGAGATATTTCCATTTTTATTGTGTAGATATAGATTAAAATTTCTTGAAAAAGATCACTTATGTAAAAAAGAGTCTAATTCATTTCAGAATATTCAAAGGTATATAGCAGGTCTATGATGTATGTGGAGAAGGTGGGGGTGGGGAATCTGGTATCCTGACCTGAAAGATCTGAATGAACATATAATTAATAGTCTCAAAGGCAGGAGAACCTTAAAATATCCAGAACCTTAAAATATCACCATGATGTGCATTGTTGTCTTCCCACATTAGTTTCTGAAGCCTTCTAAGGAACACACAAATCTGGATTACACCGATGAACATTCATGGTTTTTAAAATATCAATTATACTATAGCAATAAAGGCCTCATATACAATCACATGCTTTCACACATTTATGTATATTCAGTCCCTTCTACTAGTACAATGTATTGTTCATTGAACCCAGTGCCATTAAACTGATGACCATCTCCATGAGAACATGCAGTTGTTGTTGTTGTTGTTGTTGTTGTTGTTTAGCACCATAAAATTTACATGGCATTTTACAGACATCATCAAATCAGCATTAAAACCTGCCAATGGCATACAATCTAAAATTCTTAAAGTATAAAACTATACAATAATTAAGTAATAAGCCACTCTTCAACTCAAAAGGTATATGCCCACCCTGAGGCTGGCACTTGTTTAATTCTATCAGAGTAGATTTACTACCTTCATGAAACCAATGTAGTTCAGTGGCTAACTAGATGTGACAGCAGTATTAAAATGCAGGTTGCTGGTGAGGTTTTAAGGCTTCTTAAAACCAAAAGAAGGGGTGCTGAATTGTGTTGTTGTTATTGTGTGCCTTCAAGTCATTTCTACCTTATGCTAACCCTAAGGCAAACTATCATGGGGTTTTCTTGGCAGATTTGTTCAGAGAGAGAGATCTTGTAGCTCCTTTGAGACTAACTGAAAGAAAGAAGTTGGCAGCATAAGCTTTTGTAGACTAAAGTCTACTTCCTCATATGCATATGCATCTACATATTGATTTACAGATTAAGACGACTATATCTTTGAAATGTTCAGAGGAAGTTTGTCATTGCCTTCCCCTGAGGCTGAGAATGTCACAGCCAGAGTGGTTTAGGCCGTTCTTTTTATTTTGAAAATGTGTAGTGGAAATACCCTAGAGAGAATACCCTAGCAGGGCTGATACAAGACTAGAGACACCAAATTTGGATTTTGGCCACTATGCATGTAACATTTATTAAGACAATCAGACATATAACAAAAAGTATCAAGGGAGCTCTTTCATTCAAACCATTCATATACTCACACACACAAAGTGACACCCCA